ATCGGGCTCCACATCGAGCCGCATCGCCGATACATCGGCGATGCGGCACGATCTCTCGACCCCATCTACTCCGACCCCATCTGGGAGGCCTAGAAGGGTATCTCATCAGCTACACTTACAGTATGGGGCTCGACCACAAGAAACCTTCCACAAGAAACCCAACCCTGAGACCCCAGGACGTCCATGGATTTTCGGCGTGGGAACGCCACGCTTTCCATCGAAAAACCATCGAAACCCAAGAAACCAGGGCACCCTGGAGGCAAGCAGGGTGCTTCTTGGCATGGGCCCCCACTGTATGGGGAGGAGGAGGAGGAGGAGGAGGAGGAGGAGGAGGAGGAGGAGGGCGACGATGAGGAGGAGGAGGAGGAGGAGGAGGAGGAGAGGAAGGAGAGGAGGAGGAGGAGGAGGGGGAGGAGGGGGAGGAGGAGGAGGAGGAGGAGGAGGAGGAGGAGGAGGAGGAGGAGGAGGAGAAGGAGGAGGTGCTTCTTGGCATGGGCCTCCACTGCAAGAGTGGCCCTTGGCAAGACCGACCTCCGGTGCGCGGCCTGTCGACCGCTGCGTGCGGTGCGGCAGGTGTGCCCCGGCCCGGCCCCAGAGCCAGTGCACGATGGGCCATTCCGGCGAAGGGCAAGCAGTGAATGAAGCCCATCCCTCCTCTTCCTTCTCCTCCTCCCTCTCCTCCTCCTCCCATTCCTTCCAATGGTGCTGGACCAGCCCCTCTCTGCTCGCAGCGTCGGGTGAAGGGAGAGACCCTGGTCCCGAAACGGCAAGCCGATCAAAGAAGACCTCCACCCGAGGAGCCAAGAGCTGCGAGGGCACGAGTGAGGGGGCTCAGGGACACACAAATAAGTACACACAAATCCCAGGATTCCCCATATTATATTATATATTATATATTATATATATGTATTGGATTGTTTTGTCTTTCCCCCCACTTCCCATATTTTCCCATATATCTTCTGGGGGATCGACGATTAATTGTGTCTGCGTGTTTTTCCCTCCTGAATGACGACGTAAGCATAAACTTCCTGAGGCTCGCGCGGATTTCTTGCATCGGCGCTGGACACCCCTCCCTAGGGCGCGGAGCTCGCCAGGGGCGGCGCCAGAGGCGCCACCAGGGGGCTCCAGCGCCGATCCGAGAAGTCCGCGCGGACCTCCGAAAGTTCACGACTATGCTACTCATAGTTCCTAGGCTCTTACGTGCAACCGATGCCGATGTCTGCTTCCGCCGCACTCCACGACCCCTCCGCCGCCTCCCACCGAGGAAGCGACATCAACTCCTCCTTCGACCCTCGGAGGCGAGGCCCCCCCTCTCTTGCCGACCTCGGGGATCACCTGCTCCTCGCAACCCTTCGGGGCCCCCCCCCCTCGGTGGCTCAAAGATGGGGTCCTGAAGGATGGGGCCCCTTATAAGGACGAGGCGCCTCAAGCAGCGCAAATCCACCCTCGAATCCCTTCCTGCTCTTAAACTGAACAGGGACCGACCGTCCTGGCATTCCTATAGGCCTACCACGACATGTTCTTAGAACCCGAAAATGTTCGAAACACAAAACAATGTTCTTCTAACATCAGCCCGATGTGCTAAAACAAGACGGTCCAAGCCAGAAACGCTCTACATAAAAACATCTCGTGCAAACCACACAAAAACTTCTAAAAACAGTCTCGGGTGGGCCTGAAGGCAAGACCGGACGCTTCGCCACTGCTCGATTAAGTCCCCATCCCTGAGGACCCCTTCCTGCCCTGAAATAGAAGAAGAACAACCAGCATAAACATAAACGTTTGGCGCTCCGCGCGGATCTATTGAATCCGCACCGGACCCCTCTCCCTGGCGCGCGGAGCGCGCCAGGGGCGGCGCCAGAGGCGCCGCCGGAGAGAGCCCAGCGCGGATCCAAGAAACCCGCGCAGAGCGCCAGATGTTTATGTTTATGGCGTTTTTAACTCTTCGACTTGGGCCCCCTATCCCTCAGGACCCCATCTTTGAGCCGCCTCCCCCCAGAGACTACCTACCAGACCACCCCAACTTGACAATCCGAAGGCCCAACTTTCGGGTTGGCGGAGTACGGATGTTAGACATGTGTTTTTGTTGATGTTCCCCGACCCCCCCACTGGAAATCGACGGTAAATATGGGCCTTCGGGCTGGGTTGGGACTGCACGGTTTCCCCTAGGGCCGTAGGCGACCCGAGGAGGAGGCAGAGGAGGAGGAGGAGGAGGAGGAGGAGGAGGAGGAGGAGGAGGACGAGGAGGAGCGAGGATGAGCGAGGAGGAGGAGGAGGAGGAGGACGAGGAGGAGCGAGGATGAGCGAGGAGGAGGAGGAGGAGGAGGAGGAGGAGGAGAAAGACGGGTCGCCTAAGCCCTTCGGCGAAACCCTCCAGTTGGGACGCTCTGGTGGGTGGTGGCCCGTACGGTTCACTGTCTAGTCTACCCTTGTGAGGCCTTGAGCCATCCTCATCCTCCCCCTCCTCCTCCTCCTCCTCCTCATCATCATCATCACCATAATCAGAATCAGCAGCAGCATCAGCATCAGCATCATCAGCAGCAGCATCAGCATCAGCATCAGCATCATCATAATCATCATCAGCATCATCATTATCAGCATCATCATCAGCATTGAGCATAATCATCCTCATCATTATCCTCCGCATTATCATCATCAGCAGCAGCATCAGCATCATCATCATCATCAGCAGCATCATCATCAGCATCATCCTCCTCCTCATCATCATCAACATCAGCATCGTCATCATCATCAGCATCATCCTCATCCTCCTCCTCCTCATCATCATCATCCTCATCCTCCTCCTCCTCATCATCAACATCATCATCATCATCATCGTCATCGTCATCATCATCCTCATTCCTCATCCTCATCCATCCTCATCCTCATCCTCATCCTCATCCTCATCCTCATCATCATCATCATCATCATCATCATCATCATCATCATCGTCAGCATCAGCATCGTGAGCATCATCATCATCATCATCATCATCATCATCATCATCATCATCATCATCATCATCATCATCATCATCATCATCATCATCATCATCATCACGGTGCTGGTGGCCCGCGCGGCCGGCGCGCGGCCCTGCCTCCGCCGGCGGCGGCCATCGCCCCCCGCGCGCGGGCCGGGCTCACCGGGGCGGTCCCGCGGCCATCGCGCCCCCCGCGGCCTCGGCGCGCCTGCGCTCGGCGGCGGGGGCCCAGGCGCCCAGGCGCCCGGGCTCGGGCTCGAGCGCGAGCTCGAGCTCGCTCGAGCGCTCGAGCGTTCGGCCTCGATCGCTCGGGCTGGACCTCGCTCGGGCTGGATCTCGCTCTCGGGCTCGGGCTCGAGCTCGCGGGGGCCCGGGAGCGGTGGAGGGCTCTGGAGGCTCTCCAGAGGTGGACTTGCGCTCGTCCGATGAGGATCGACAGGCGGACAGCTGCGCGCGCCGGAGGAAGATCGGCGGGCGCACCATGATCTTACGTAAGAAGATGCCCTCTGACCGCACTGGAAGTGTCCTGGGCCCTCTTGGGAGCCTCTTAGGAGAGCTCCTCCCCCTGCTCCACTCTCGTCCTTCACCTCCCAATCGCCACTCTCTTTCCTCCTCCTTCTCCATTCCTTCTCCTTATAGATGACTCCTCCCTGTCGCACCCCGAAGCCAGTTTTTAGGGCGGGGCGGGCGTTTCGCCTGAGACTTCTTCACCATTTATGACCCTGAAGCTGAAACATGGGCAACAATTTCACAGATGGAGGGCGGGCCGTTTTCAAAATGTGGCTCTCGCCTTCGCGCCGCGCATATTCGTTTTCAAAATTTGCGAGAGCTTCACGGATTGAGGGCGGGTCGTTTTCTAAATGTGGCTCTCGCCTAAGCGCCGTGCACATTCGTTAAACAATTGCAATAATTTCACATATTGAGGGCGGGCCGTTTTCTAAATGTGGCTCTCGCCTAAGCGCCGCGCACATGTGTTTTAAACAATCGCAAGAGCTTCACGGATTGAGGGCGGGTGGTTTTCAAAATGTGGCTCTCGCCTCAGCGCCGCGCACATTCGTTTAAAACAATTGCAAGGGTTTCACGGGTCGAGGGCGGTTCCTTTTCAAAATGTGGCTCTCGCCTCAGCGCCGCGTACATTCTTGATACACAGTTGCAAGAGTTTCACGGAGTCCCATGATCGACGTACCAGCAATGGCGTTTGGGAATGATTCACGATTTTGCGGGCGCAACAGTTACGATGATTCGCGGAGTTGAGGTCCCAGGAATGGCGTTCTGGCGCGATTCAGGATCGTCAAGACGCAACAGTCAGGTAGTCAGGTTCATCCGTGGCGTTGGAATACAGAGCATAATGTTTTGGCATACTTGAGGGTCTTCAAGCGGTTCCAACGAGGCAAGTCCCTCTGTGTAAGTGGACCGTTGTAGGGGCCTATGAAGAGGGAGCTTGGGGAGAGGTTATATTCCAGCATCGTTGGTGACTCTTGGGTTTACACTGGTCCTCCCCCTCCTCCTCTTCCTCCTCCGCCTCCACGGCCCCCGCGCGAATTGTCCCACGAGCGCGCGATGGCATGAGCTAAGTCGGCCCATCTGCCCACCTGTGTTCCCAGCGTGCCGCCGCACCGCGCGCTGGCGGGTGAGAGACGGGCGGTACAAGGAGCGGCGCGGCGCTGTGGAGCGCGCGGGCACTGCCCGCGGATCTCGGGCCGCTTCCTCGCAAAGTGCAGGCAAGGGGCAAGGGAGCTACAACAAGCTCGTGTCGTGACGACGTTGGCGCTGGTTTCTCACACCGCGTAACTTCGGCGGCGAGCGAGCCCGGGGGGAAGCAAGAAGGGGCGGGCCTTCTCAGAAGGCTCGGAAGCCCCCTGGCCTTCTGAGAAGTTGCCTAAGCCTTCCCCGAAGACACAGGAAACTTCTCGGAAGGCGCGAGGGCTTCTGAGAAGCACCGCGGCCTTCTGAGAAGGCCTTCTCCTTCTCACTTCCCCGCGTCGCTCGCCGACGACCAGTGGTAGGGTGGGGGGTGGAGGGGGGGAAATGTTCTTTTTTGCGCACGCCGCAAGCTCAGTCCACGCACCCCGCTTCCTGCGCTGCCGGCGGTCATTTGCTCGCTGCCTCTGGCGCCTGCAGGCAAGCCCAAACAACTGCAGTTGCGAGATTGGGCGTGCGCGGGGGACGCCTCATGCGGTGGCTGAATCCCGCAACCCCTCCTGGACGTAGGTGGTCGAATGCGTCTTCTTCCAACCCCAGTCTTCCCCCTCGAAAAAGGGTTTATATGGGTTCGCCACTGCACGCTACTAATGAACAACTCCTCGCCGACTCGACCAGCCGCCGACCAGGAACAATGAGCCCCCATTATCCCTTTGAAAAAACAGCACAAAGTGCACGTGGCGGCGAAATCTGAATCACGAGCGGGCACCCAGCGATCAGTTTGCATTGGCTCTTGACTGGGACGGCGGGGGTGTCATCACACTTTTCCGCTGCCCGTGCCAAGAACACTTGCAACCAGATTGCGGGCGTAAGCGCCATGCGCCACATTGACCACCCCGCCGCACACGGATCCTGGAGGTGTCGAGGCACTGCCCGAAGTATCCGTCACCTGCGTCGGCTCCCCTGCCGCCGCCTGGCGCACTGTCTTCCGCGCGTCGCGCACCTGGCGCGGCCGGAGCACGCGGCGGCGCATCTGGCGTGCCTGGCACGCTTTGGGCCCAATGGGTCACCCGGTACGCCTGATGCGCGTGGCGCGCCTGGCACGAGTGGCACACCTCGCGGGCGTCGCGCACCTGGCGTGTGTGTTGGCTCCCGGTGGCTGTCGGTCCGATGGCGACCTCTGCCCGTGCTGGGTCTCTGGTGCTGCTTCTGTGGCAGGGCGGCTGGGAATGAGCGGGACGACTCGTGATGTTCCGCTGGGACGCAATGGGGGTCCCGAGGCTTCAGAGCGTCCCTTGTTTCCAAGCTGGCCTCGGATAGCCCAAACATACATCCAATATGGCGCAAGACAAGCCACGGGGGCTCAAGATGGCCTCCACCATGCCTCCAAGAGATTCCAAGCCTGCCCTAATAAAGCTCCAAGTAGGAGCCTCCGCAACAAGAGTTTAGGAGGGGAAGAATTCGCAGTGTAGGGCGAGAATGGGGAAGAGGAATAATGAACATGAGGAAAAGATAACGAATCACATTACTAGAACGACGATCTCGGAAAAGCCAACAATGAATTGTCGATGAATGTTCTGTTTTGCCTTCATGCCTTTCCGCCTGCATGCAAAATTTCAAGAACGCCCAGAAACCAAGTAACAGAGCATTCCAAGACGCATGGAACAAAAAAAGGGGGAATCACTATTTTTCTGCATTTCGAGAACCTCTTGGGGGTCTTCTTTGGGTCGCCTTCGGTCGTCTGGTGGGTGTCTGGCGCCTTCTAGGGCCCTCTGGGGTGGCCGCTCTGCCGCCCTCCTGACCTGTACATTGAGACCGCTGCCCAGGCTCAGAAAGGCCTCCAGGAGCTCCGGAAGGCACGGGGGACCCATTGCAGGGGCGTCCAGGGGGGCCCCCGGCTGCGGGGTCCCGTTTGGGGGGGGTGGGATGGGGGGGGGGGGCTGACGGTCCCCCCCCTCCAGTTTGCAAAGCTCTTGGGAAAGGAACATCGTTTTTTTGTTTTCTCTCTCTCTCTCTCACGTCCTGTCTCTCTGTCCCTCTCTCTCTCTTCCTCTTTCCCACCTGGCTCCCTCCCCTGTCAATACCCGCCATCCTCACCGACGCCATCTCTCTCTTCCTCATACTCCTACTCTTGCTCTTCTTCTTGCTCATCGTCCTCATCCCCCTGATCTCCTCCTCCCCACCACCACGACAGTTTAAGGTCATCCGATCATTATCATCCTCAGCGTCATCCTGGCCATAATGCTGATCCTCCCATCCCTCTTGCTCCTGATTATGTTGGGAGTTCCTTCTCTCGGCCTCTTCTCCTCATCATGGTCCTCCTCCTCCTTCCCCTGCTCGTCCTAACCCCTCTGCCGCTCCTGCTCCGCCTCGTCCTCCTCTTTCTCCTCCCCCTTCTCGTCCTGATCCTCCGGCTCCTCCTCATCCAAATATCCAAGTGGCCCTCCTGCTCATGCACCTCCTGCTCAGCACTACCATATCACTACGCCCCCTGTCCCACGTCCTCCCATCTTCCTCCTCCTCCATCTGCCTGCCCATCCCTCCTCCTGGTCGTCCTCGTCGCCCTGGTCCACATCCTCAATCCCATATTTGTCATCGCTCTCGTCCTCGTCGGGCTCAGGCTTGAAAACATGTTTAACTCAAGAGTCATAAGAATTTGTTGGACGGTTGAGGAATTTATGCGGCGGGTTTTCAAATAATTACTCTGGTGTACAAAAACCTCTCCCCGGCCTCCGACGCTCCTGAGACGTGTGCAAAGCTGTGCTGGGGGGCGCCGGCTCTCAGCCCGAAGCCCTGGACGCATGACAGCAAGCGGTGGGCGCGGGCACTCCGTCTCCCAAACCATGCACCCCAGACGCCGGCCCCAGTCGTCATGCGCCGACGCCTTCGCTTACATGAGCGATTTCGGAAACAATGAACCCAAAAACGTTTTCATCTCTTGGGGGCGCATGCTTTACTGCCGCCGCCTTCCGCCAAGCTTACGCCGGCTTCCGTCGGCAGAGGTGGCCTCGTTGTCCTTCCGCCGACCTTCCGCCGAGAAGGAGGAGGAGGAGGAGGAGGAGGAGGAGGAGGAAGGGGATGAGGAGGAGGAGGAGGAGGAGGAGGAAGAGAAAGGAGAAGAGGAGGAGGAGGACGAGGAGGGGGAGGAGGAGGAGGAGGAGGAGGACGAGGATGAGGAGAGGAGAAGGAAAAGGAGGAGGAAAAGGAGGAGGAGGAGGAGGAGGAGGAGGACCCTTCCGCCGCGGAAGAGATGCCAACTCCTTCGATACGCCCCACGTGGGACAGACTGGGTTCGCCTCCCCTGGGTTGCCCCCCCCCAACCCCTGGTGCGACGCGCCGTGCGGTTGCGGCGTTTGGACGGGGATCGCTCCTCGAAGCCTCCTCCTCCTCCTCCTCCTCCTTTTTCGTCTTCTTCTTCTTCCTCCTCCTCCTCCTCCTCCTCCTCCTCCTCTCCTCGTCCTCGTCCTCGTCCTCGTCCTCGTCCTCTCTCGTCCTCGCCCTCCTCCTCCTCCACCTCCTCCTCCTCCTCCTCCTCCTCCTCCTCCTCCTCCTCCTCCTCCTCCTCAAAGCATGCACGCCGGATGCTGAGTCTCGGCCCCCGCTCGCCGACGCGTGCGCTTCCGTGTGCACGGTGGAGACCCATGCCAAGAAACACCCTGCTCGCCTCCAGGGTTCCCTGGGTTTCTTGGGCTTCGACCGTTTTGCGACGGAAAGCGTGACGTGCCCACCACCAGCCACCAGTGGCCGCCCCGGGGTCTCAGGATTGGGCTTCTCGTGGCAGGTTTCCTGTGGTCGGGCCCCTGCTGTCGCCAAACGTGGGCTGATGCTGGCTCGATCCCGCAGGGCGGGCACGCGGCTTGCCAACCAGCAGACCAGCCAAACAACCAACCCACCAATGAGCATCGTTTAACCGATCCCCATCCCCAGCGGCGTGGCCTGGGCCCCACTGGCCGATCTACCGCCCTAGATGGGGATATGGGCCGTTCCCTTGGGGTTTCGAGGGCTGTATCCACAACTGGGGTGGTAATTTGGTGGGGGTCTCGAAAGGGATGGGGATGGGGATGGGGATCGGTTAAACGATACCGAACCAACCAACCCGCCAGCCGGCTGGCCAACCAACCGGCCATCGAACCAGCCAACCAGCCAAGCGGGCAAGCAACCAACCTGCCAACCCGCCAACCGACCAACCAGCCTGCCAGCACTTTACGAGATGCCTCGCACGGCGGGCCCAGGGGCGAATTTCCTAAACAGCAGCAGCTTCTTCAACCCTGACGCCCAGCACTGAGACCTGAAACCAAACATGCTTACAATCCTTCTCCCGTCGTCGTCGTCGTCGTCTTCCTCCAGCCGACCTTCTGCCTCCCCCTCCTCCGCCTTCCACCCTAAGACGAAGCCAGAACGAGGATAAATTCGGGTGAGGACGAATCGAAGATCTCTGCGATCCGGCGGCTCTGCAAAATGCATCGGGCGCCGCAGCCTTCTCACAGCGTTCCGGAACCTTCTGAGAGCGTCCCAGAACGCTCTGGAACGGATTTATTCTCGTCCTAGCTCCGAAACAAACGCCATGAACAGAAACTGTTGGCACCCCGCGCGGATTTCTTGGATCCGCGCTGGGCCCCCCTCTCTGGCGCGCGGAGCGCGCCAGGGGCGGCGCTGGAGGCGCCGCCTGGGGGGCCCAGCACGGATCCGACCGCGCGGACCTCCGAGCTATGTTTATGTCACTCTCCATTCCCCTGAGGACAGAAGAACGTTCCCCAAGAACATGAGACCCTCCGCGGGCCAAACCGAAGAGCACTCGAGGGCAACCGCCCTCAGGATGCACAGGAACATGCGACAAGCATGAAGAACACTGGGTCATCCTCCCCGAACCGACCTCGACCTTCTACCTCGGTCCGACCGTGCTGAGGGTCGATGCACGCAGGCTGCGCGCGATCAGCGGAACTGACCTGGGGAGACCAGAAGGTGCCGATGCCGCTACTCCCCAGACCTCTCCTGGGCCGTGTTCTGGCCAGAATCTCGAGGCGAATCCAGCCGTGGCGACGAGGGCATCCCAGGAGGCCCAAAAGGAGAAAAGCGAGGGAATGGCAGCGGCGTGAATATCTATTCCTCCTCGGATGAACAAGGAAATCCCGTACATGGACAATAGGTTCGAACCCTGCGACCCAAGATACCCCCCTGGACCCCAAAATTAATATTAAGGGTGTGGCAATGGAGAAGGCATGGGTGGACAGAATATTCGAGCGCCCAAACCAAAACCCACGCCAAAAACCGCCAGGAAATCGGGGGCCAGGGGGGTGATGACTATCCCCTCAAGTGTGTGAGGGTTTGACTATGTTGTCCATTTCCTGCCACACACTCTGCGAGGAGAGGGAGGAGGGGGGGGAGGAGGAGGAGGAGGAGGAGGAGGAGGAGGAGGAGGAGGAGGAGGAGGAGGAGGAGGAGGAGGGCGGAGGTGGAGGGGAGGAGGGAGGAGGAGGAGGAGAAGGAGGAGGAG